TTTGGACCATCTAAAGGCCTAATTATAATAACAATCAAATATTACTTCAAATGCATTTTATGAAAAATATTTAAGTTTTTATTTTTTTTCTGTTAAAAAACAGGGCGCTCATGTACCCAAACTGGTATTTAAAGTCTGAGTGCTCGGGTACAGTAGTAGCACCCTTTACACAAAAAACAGTATGTGTTGGATTTTCATGTTAGCACAACTTTGCTGCATTTTTCCAGAGTTTACTGTTGTTTCTGTAATTTAACCAGTTTCCACACTGGAATAACCGTAGTGGGCAGCTCATTAAATAAATACTGTGTGTAACTTCATTACTTATGCATTATTACACACATTACACGATACTGAGAGGAAGTCTCTTTTTCTGCACCCTCACTACTAAATGCAGGGAGGTGGGTTAGAAGACAGAAAGTCACTGAAAACAAACCAAATTCAACTCACACTTCCTCTTTCTTTGTGGGCATGTTTTATTTTCTGAATAGTGGCGTTGCCTGGTCGAGCTCATGACTGCGTAACCAAAGGTTGTTACAGGCAGCTCAGTGTAACTCAAACGCGTCTATCAAAACTACTCTGACGTATAAATGCAGCACATGTTGGTCTGTTGAACCTCGTTTTGAGTCCAGACTCCATTTTCACCACCTGCTGTTTCTGACTGGAACCTCTGGTTTGACATTACGAGGGCTCGCCTGGCCTCTAACCCATTTGAAACCTCTGGTTTGACATTACGAGGGCTCGCCTGGCCTCTAACCCATCTGAAACCTCTGGTTTGACATTACGAGGGCTCGCCTGGCCTCTAACCATCTGAAACCAACACACAGTAACGTGTCACTGACCCCGCCTCTCTGTCCGTCCACATGTGTTGCTCTGATGTGCTCAGCCAGGTCAGGGCTGCTGGGAAACAGCAGCTGGCAGTGATCCCAGCAGCAGGTGTAGCTCAGAGATTTGCCCCCCGCCACCAGTGAACCACTCCCTGCTACTCCACCTGTGTGACCGTTCAGCATAGCGGGGGTGGAGCGACCGCTGGACGCTGTGCTCTCCATGTCCATCAGAGTGGAGCTGATACTGAAACACACACAAAACACGAGAAATCAAAATGTGATCTGACAGAATGAAAATAAATGCATGTTCAGTGTTTTATTTCACTCGTCACCCAACTGATGGTTGGGGTCAGTGCAGGATGAACCACTGAAACCCCCCATGGGTGACAGCTGTGGTCTGGGAGAGAGTCTATAACTCTGTCTGCAAATACAGTAAATAATGACCAATGTTGGGCAATTAATTATATAGTTACTTCTTCAAAAAAG